ACATGATCATTTCACCTCTAGTTTTCCCTGACCTCTCATAGCAAGTGTTACCTGATAATCGCCTTACTCTTCTGGAAAAGACACCTGTGTACTGCAGAAAGAACTAAATTTCTAAGGATATATCACCTATAAGCTTTCGATCTCAGGGGGGGGGAAATCAGTATTTTCTTTTAAAACTTCTAGGTTTCAAGTCTTATAAAAATTTTTTAACTTGAAGTCAAGATCCCAAACGACTAAAAACTTGAAAGTCAAAAATATATACACCTGAATTGCATTGTAACCTGGAAAAACAATAATCCCATGTGCCTACATGCTGCTTGCTGGCTTGGGCAGGCATATGTGGCTTACAGGAGGTCGGGACTTCAGGATTCTGTGGAATTAGGCCCTTCCTCAAGGTTGTACAGAGGTATGTTATAGAATCACACATTAAGCTGCCAGCAAAATATACATGGTGGGTATAAGAGAAGCTGAAAGAATGGAGATACCAGTAAATGGCTGACAACAAAGCAACAAGAGAGAAAAAAAAGCCTACAAAACATTCACGCAATTATTGTAAACATACTACCAATTTTCCATTTATTGTATGAGAACAGACCAACCCACACCAAAAAAAAAAAATTACAATTTAAGGATTTTCAGAGATTCTTCTAACAGTGCCTGAATCACTCAAGTAACTTATCTAAACTGGAAATGTATATAGATTTACTAAATCTCTTAGATCATGGGATGGTTTGGCATTGCCTTTCCTCTTTGTAAATAGGCTATTTTGTTCTTTTCTCCTAATATTCACCTTCTACCAAAAATGAGAGTGGATGAATGTAGAGCTCAAGGGTAAAAGGGGTCCATCCTCTGTGGTCCACTTGGTGGTTAACACGACAGTCACTTTGACATCTGCTCAAGTGGCTATGTCTGCAAGTTCTATGCAAAAATATCAAGTGAGGCAACTGAGAAGAATCAAAGTATACCCCAGGAATGCAAAGACGATTCAACACTAGACTACATTAGAAAATCTGTTATTGTAATTCACCTCATTAACAAATTAAAGGAGAAAAAACATTATTACATAAAAACTATAAGATCATATGAGGTCGGACAATTAAGTTCGTGAACTCATCCTAGAAAAAGTGCTACCTACCTCACTGCTGAATATCACTACGGTCACTTTCGAAGTACTTCCCTTGGGAAGCTATGCACCAATGCCAGTGTCTAGTCAACCCTTCAAAGCAATTCTGGAATGGCCATTAGAGCTGTCATTTTAGTACCTTTGATGCCCTGAATATCATCAAAATGTCTTCCTTTCAATATTTCCTTTATCTTTGAGTAAAGAAAGAAGTCACTGGGGGCCAGATCAGGTGAGTTGGGAGGGTGTTCCAATGCAGTTATTTGTTTACTGGCTAAAAACTCCCTCACAGACAAAGCTGTGTGAGCTGGTGCATTGTCGTGACACAAGAGCCATGAATTGTTGGCGAAAAGTTCAGGTCGTCTAACTTTTTCACGCAGCCTTTCAGCACTTCCAAATAGTAAACCTGGTTAACTGTCCAGTTGGTACAAATTCATAATGAATAATCCCTCTGATATCAAAAAAAGTTAGCAACATCATTGCAATATGTTCACAAACTTAATTGTCAGACCAAAATCTATAGTATAAGATCTACAGTGGATATAGAAAAATTCAATCTCCATCCTTTTTTTTAAATAAGCAAACAAAACACTTCTTAGCAAAATACTTGTATAACTCAATGAAAGGTATATAGCAAATGCCCACAGCAGACATCCTTAATGACAAAATATTAAACGCACTCCCTTGAAAGAAAGAACAGGATCCCTCCATCATCACACTTCTATGCAACACTGATAATGGAAATGGGCCTGCCAAAGGCCATGAAATTAACCATTAGCCACGCCAGGAGGGCCCAGGCTTTCTACCTCCAGGTCCAGCACTTTATATACTTCATTGTAGTTTTGTGCTACAACTGCTTCTGTTTCCTTTGGGCATGAGTCCCTCCTGCCTTATCATTTGAATTCATGGTTGCTGGTGGATTAGTTGACATTCTGCGGTGGGGCTACAATATACTATTAGTCTGCCTAGAAGGTCTTGTTTTTTTCTACAGTAATAGAAAAGCACAGGAAGATTAGTAGAAGTTACATAATCACTGCATTACAGATCACATAAGACAGCACAAAAGCACAGACCTAGGACCTTGATACATATAAAATAAATTCTATGTGACATCACTCCTCACACCTTTTACTTATGACTCTTACCTCAAAATAGTAGCTAGAATCTTTTCTGTCCTAATGTTATGTATTTGATCATTTCAATCAGCAAGCAACACATAAAGATATGAAATACATGTACATGAATAATATAATTAACAGCTTGATTTAAAATACCTTGTACTTAAATGTCATATGATTTCACTTGTTATGTGGAATCTAAAGAACAAAATAAATGAATAAACAAAACAAAAACAAACTCATAGATACAGAGAACATTTTGATGGTTGCCAGATAGGAGAGGGTTAGGTGTGGGTGAAAAACGGGAAGGGATTAAGAAGTACAAATTGGTTGTTACAAAGTAGTCATGGGGATCTAGGGTATAGCATAAGAAATATAGCCAATAATATTGTAATAATTATGCATGGTGTCAGGTGGGTACTAGACTAATCAGGGGGATCACTTTGTAAGTTATATAAATGTCTAATCACTATGTTGTACACCTTTAAAAAAAGGAAAAAAAAACATGTTGGACCTTGTTCTCTACAGAGAATGTAAATGCTTTTCCTTTTTCTCCAAATTAGACTTAGTTTATCCCAGAAAATTCTAGATTTTATTGTCTTCCTCTAGCCAAAGCTATAATAATAAAGGACAGATTTAGATCTTTAAATGCTTTCATTATTAACCAAGTAAGGACAAACTTAAACAAAGAATTTTATTCAAGAAACTAAGAAAAAACAAAGGAATGTACAAAAAGCAGGATAAAAGAATTGATAAAGATAAATTAGAAACAAATTAATCAGAAATAGATAAACAATAGAATTGATAAGCTAATCCAACTGGGTTTTATCTTCATAAAACTTAGAGTGACATACTCCAATCTTCTAAACAGGAAGATTAAACATTGTTTAAGTATATTAATACCAGTTTGTATGCCCAAACATGCATAAACGGGGGAAATGTCTGAAAAGATATATAGCAAAAAGTTAGCAGTGTTTTTCTCCAAGCAGGGAGATTAAAGGTAGTGTTTATTTTCTTCTTTATACTTTTCTGTATTCTCTAAACCTTCTGTAATGAATATACAACTTTTTATGATCGGAAAAATAAGCTATTGTTTTAAGATGCCACATTATTTTTCACTGACACACATATTTAATGTAGTACCAATCAAAATACCACAGAAACAGATGAGGGACTGAGGGAGAACTTCAAGGACACCGGGGAGATCAAACATTTTGCAATAGAGTAATGAAGGGTGAACCTATTCCACAGACATTAGAACTTAATGTAAAGCTACAATTACCAACCTACCGTTCATATGGTCCCCTAGCTAGTACCTTCAATGGAACTGCCTCCATAGTTTCAATAAAATGCTGTGAATTTAGGACACAGACAATGGTAAAAGTACCAATACTACCACCACTCAGATTATCAGGCAACCCAATGCCAGGATCAGTTTGCAACTCACTAATCTCAAGGCACATGAAGCAGGAAAGAAAAATTCCCCTGGAAGCTCATGGCATACTTTGTTTCTTAAAACAGTCACAACCCTGAAATAAGGTGGAAAGATGTTTTCAACCTCTCTCACCAAGGAACCCCTCAATCACAGACCCAGAGCTTAGAGAAATTTTAAAACAGGAAGCCACCTGTCTACATCTTTCCAGACTGCTCTGTGAGTGGGCAGAATATTATACAATTACCAGCCATCCTCATTATATAACAAAGTTCCAGACTAATTAAAGGATTATTTTTTTAAATGAAAGAAGTGATCATTTAATTTAATCTTAGGTTTGGGAAGATCTTTCCAAGGAAAAAGGGGAGGGGGGGAAAAGGAAATGAAGATGAGATTTGAATGATCCAACAACTTGATGCCAACTGTTGGCAAGTGTTCATGATCTGCTGGTGGGAACGGACTTGAATGGTATTTCTGTAGGGCAATCAACCTGGCTAAATGTACTAAAAGCCTTTAAAATGGTCACACTCTGAAACAACAAGTCAATGTCTAGAAATCTTTCCTTAGGAAATAATGACAGATCTAAAAAATGTATTACAATATCAAAAGACTGGAAAAGAACATAAATGTTCAACAACTGGCAACTAGTAAAGTACACATGAAATATTGATATACTAGAATACTATCCAGTCTTCAAAATCATGTTTCAAAGAATAATAATGAGAACATGCTCAGAAAATATTAAATTTTTAAAAGTTAATATATATGGGGTGATTCTAAAAAAATTTTTTTTCAACTGCAGGAAACACACACACATATACAAGTATCTGGAAGATAACACCAAAATAATGCTTATATTATTACTTCATAGAGAAATTTGGGGTGATTTTAACTTTCTGTTATTAGTAGCCCTAAGCATGCTAACTGGTAGACCTGAATAACTCTTGCTCATTCTTCAAGACTCAGCTTATTGTCTCCTCTTTCAAGAAGTCCTCCTGACCTACCCACCTTTATTCCACGTATTTTAGGTGTTCCTCTTTCCCACAGGAGTCTGGGCTGCCATCTATGACATTCTTTATCCCTGCATCATACTCACTGATTTGATTCACTATATCCCCACTACAGTTTGAACAGCCTGTAGTCAGAAATCAGAGTGTTTCATTTTTGTATCCCCAATCTGCCTGGAATCTAACAGAGGTTCAAGCTGGAATGATGGATTCATGAATGAAATTGACTAAGCAAAAGATTCTCTGTGCTCTGTGAATTTAAAGGTCAAGAAGGGAAACGTTGACAAGGACGAGCAAATACTGGTCAAGAGACATCTCCTTACCTTGGCTAGTAGGCCGGAGACATGTTTAATTTCACCATGTGCCTTTAGTAATTCTTGTTTGAGCTCAGTGCAAGACAGTTCCAGCTGATCTTTCTCAGCTCGAGCTACTTTTAACATTTCTTGAATTTCACAGCCCTCTGCCATCTGCCCCAGGGGACTGGTCTCTCCAGCTCTTTGCTTCTCGTTCTCCAATTGAGCCTTCAAAGACCCATTTTCAATCTTCAGCCCTTCCTGTGTAACTTGACACTCTTCCAGAGTTTTGGCCATCACACTGTTATCATGCCGTTCCAGTTCTAGAAACCCATTCAGTTTTTCATTTTCTTCCTTCAAGTGTTTGATCATTTCTAAAGCTCCTTGGTGTTCTTCCTCCACCTTCCGTAAACTGCAGGTCAGCTGCTGCTGAATGTGGAGCAGCTGCTCTCTTTCGAAGCGGCCCTGTTCAAGGATCTCCGCGCACTTCTGCTCCAGTTCCAGACGTTTTCCTTCTTGGGCATTGGGCTCTTCATTCTTTACTCGCTCTTGTAAAAGATGTATCAGCTTCTCATTTTCTTGACTTAGCTGCTCTACCCTCTCTAGATGCTGATGAAAGGAAGTTTCCAAAATCGTCTTCTCATCCACCAGCTTCTCATTTTCAGCTGTCAATTCTTGCACCATTTGTTGCTGGTCTGACAATTCTTGTAGAGTAGCCTGCAGTTCTTCCGCAGTGCTGTGGTGATTTTCTTCCATCTTATGTATCTTCTCCGTCAGAGAAGCCAGGGACAGCTCACTCACATTGTTAGGGGAGCTCCCTGTGGTAGAGCACTTTGAACTCTTAAAGGCGTTGCTTGTGGAAGACAGGGGCCGGGAGGGGGTGTCTGCTGTGATGTGCTCAAAATCGGAGGCATCTGGTGACAAAGAAGCTTTGGTAACATCGCTACTCGAAGAACCCGACATCCGTAATGCATTTCCGTGAGGGCTGTTTTTATACTCATTGATTTCACCAGACAACTGATCTTGTGTTGGGCTTCCAAAGCTTGACTCTTGGGTTATGGATGTTGGGCAGCTGCTGTCACCAGTGTGGCTTGCTCCCTCTTCCGAATTTGGTGAATGCTCAAAATAAGTCAGTTTCTCCTTCAAGGTCTGGTTTTCTTCCTGCAGATAGGCAAGCTCTTTCTGAAAATTCTTGTTCTTCTCCTCAAGAGCTCTTATCAACAGTTCTGAGTCACCTGGTGAGACTGAGGACCCATCCAACTTTGGGTCCAAAGTACTGGTTCCTTCAGTGTTCAGAGTCCTTTTCTCCTTGCATTTCTTAAGTTCACTTCGAAGCCTGTTAATTTCACTATCTTTTGCTTTGGCTTCTGCCAAAAGTTCCCGAACTTGGGACTCAAGCACGGCCTTTTCTCCACCTTCATTCTCTTGCTTGGGTCTTGTGGAAGTGGTCCTCAGGTGCTTGGTAGGGGTGAGTGTGCTGGAAGAAGTTGGACTGGACACTGATTTCCTTGGGTTGGAGGGACCACGTGGCACAGTTCTCTCTCTTGAGACAGTTACCGAAAGTTCTCGAGGAGCTGGAATGCCTGTCCGTTTGGTCGTTGTCACAGCCCCTAAACACAGAAGCAGAAACTAGTGAAACAAAGCAAGCACTTTTATAAATGAAACCCAAATGACTTCAACTCATAAGGCATGATGAACATGGTGGCTGTTGCCCTTCGTCCATTTCCTTTTCCTTTAGAAAATTATCCAGTTCTGACTGGGGTTTCTGTACCTACTTCCACAGCCCTATATTTCTGGGGAAGCTAACTCCAAACCTGAGCTACTCAGCATAATCCTATCCTCAGCATGGGCACACTCCTTCACTGAGGTCAATGAAAGTTTTTCTGGGTGAGCTTCTAAAAGAATACTGGACATGAGTGATAGCTCATGTACGTCTGGGAATGGCTGGCAACCATCTTGTCATCAAAACAGAAAAGTGAGAAGCAGAGAACAGAAAGAAGGAAACCAAATCTTTAGTAGCGTTGTAGATTTGCTAAATCAATCATCACGGAGGCTTGGCCTATTGCTGTCCTTCCCATTACACAAGCCAATAAATACCCATCACAGAAGTCACCTTGAGTTGGGTTTTCTGTAACTTGCAATTTAATACATCTGAACTGATAACCTTGGCAACTACACAAACAGCCTTTTGGCAAAATACAAGTTCATTATGAATTTCTCAATAAACATTTAAAAAATTCATCATGAACATATTTTGACTGAACACACATTTGATTAAGAAATAAGAAGACATAAATAATACTAAGGAGACACTGATCTGATCCAATGACCTATTATTATTGCTTTTAACATAAGTGGAAATGGTGTACTCATTTGTATCCATAAAAAACAAGAACGAATGGGATAAGGGCATATTGTATATATCTATGGTACAGCTTTAAATGTTTAAGGGATTTATATAATACAGAAATGATATGGAATTTAGAATACTTACAATGGAAAATGTAAGGAATTATTTTTAATTTTCATCTATACTACTATCATTACTTTTAAATTTTCATCTATGCTGTATTTTTTTACTTTCAGTTATACTATTACTACAGATGATGTTAAAAAAAATTCTAGGGGTGAAAACCCAGACATGGATCTAGAAATGAAACCTACCTCAGAGGTTAAAGTGTAAATGAAAAACCTGGGCCTGTTTTACAAACTCAAAGACCATTTGATTAATCAAGGCTTATTGCTATAACTTACACATGTATGCACCTGGGGCTGGAGGTCACCCAACTCGAGACCTCTACATTGTTGGAAGGGTTGGGGGCAGGGGATTCAGCCACAGACTGGCAGCAGTCCCCCCCATGGCACAGTAGCTCTAAACCTCCCACCAAGACTGTTACTAAGACGTGAACAACTGCATATCCTAACATCCTGAATCTGAGGTGATGATCTTAGGTGACTTAGCATCTGTTGCTAAGCCTCTGACAGCTGAGTGCTTTTAAACTTTGACATAATAAAGGCTAAACTGTCATATTAACATACAGAAAAGCTACGCTTTTTATATTAACTTTTCCAATTAAGTTACTGGAAAGCTAAGAGTACTACAATGCACATTTAATGCTTTCGGGTGCCTAGAGGCCTCGCTTGCATCATACTAGGTACGCAGTGAAGAAAAAATGTATTTAATTATTCTTGTAAAATGAAGATTAAAATCGCTAAGCAATGAAATGTTTTAGTAACAGCAGTTCTCTAGAGTGAAGTAATCTTGGCCATGACCATAATGAAAACTGGCAGATAACTAAAGTTTCACCATACCTACAGTCAGAACAGGCAAAACGAAGAGTCCAGGACTGATTATCACAGGGACATTGGCCATTCCTAATAGTGCCACTAAAATTAAGGCTCCTTTTCAATTATTTGTTAGTTTTGAAGATGGGAAGAATTAAAATAAGACAGTAGATCAACTCAGTCATCATTTCCAGCTACAGTTTAACTTCTTCCTTTTGCTGCCAAATCTTAGTTTGTTCTTCACTTAGGTGTTACTTAAGCCTTATCTGAGCTACTAGGAATTCTTTTACATCAAACCAAAATACATTTATGAAATATATCCAGTTGTGGATATATTTTTTACTATATCTGTTCTTTTCTCTGTTCTTGCCACTTCATCATCACTTGGAGAGTCCCCAGTTTGTTTTCGATTTTCTAAAAGGTTCTTCCCATCTCTGTACACATCATTTCAGAAACTGCAATTAACAGAGGTAAAGTAAAGAGAGTTGTTAAAATTCATCATCAGGCCACACTAAGGTTGGTGCTTGGCTGCTCGCTCCCCCATTTGTGCCCAAGTCTGCTGCCCAGACACCCCTCATCATGGGCACTGGTGGGCAAGAGTAAAGTTGTCAAGGGCATAGCTAACAATGGAATCAATCAGTGGGGTGCTACCCTAAGTCTCCTTCAAGTACTGTTGGTCCAGCAGCCTCAATGCTATACAATACCTCCTGGAACCCTGAAACTGGGCATGCTACCTAACAGTATACCATGGCAAAGGTGACAACAGGGGCGGCGAAAAGGCTGGTGCCAATGGCACAGGGACCGGCTCAGGGGCACCCTTACTTCTTTTGTCTCCTTCCCATCCTCAGACCAGGTCATCACTTGTTCCTACTGACACTGGTTGTCTTAAGTGCAAGAAGTATAAAATAAAAGCAAGCTCCACCTAATAATTTATTTATTTATTTTTTTAAAGATTTTTATTGGGGAATTGGGGGAAGGGGAACAGACAAGTTGCTGTCCTTTTGTTCTTCAGTCTAGTTGTGGAGGACGCTGCTTCACTGGCCCAAGTTGGCACCATCATTGCACTCTTCCCCGGTGAGGCAGATCAGTCGCTGGCTTCTGGACGGCCGCTCACTGCGGCTGCTGGCCGCTCACGCTGGCTGCTGGCTACATACGGTAGCCCATGGCAACCCACTGCCACAGGGGCTGCAGCCTACGCCGTCGCCGGCGACTCACAGCAGCCCAGCTCCCAGGTTGAGCTGTTGTTCAGCATCTTAGCTGTGGAGGGCAGTGTCACTGGCCCTCACATGTGGGATCCGAACCGGGGCCCTCTGGCGTCCCAAGCCAGTTCTTAACCATTGCACCACTCGGCTGGCCCTAATAATTTATTTTTAAAAAACCACGCTTGATGTTACATTTTAAAAGTCCAAGTGAAAAATTATACTGTGGTTGATCACAGGTGCATCAAACTATTATTCATAGAGACACACGCTAGGAAGGAATGTATAATATTGAGAATAGATGAGTATTAAGCTGGTTGGATGGTGAGTAATTTTCCTGTTTTCTTTTTTACAGTTACATTTATATATAAATTAAAAAAAAACAGGAGGGAAAAATCCTATCATAACAATATACAGAGAGATAAAGAGGTGGGAAAAAGAAATCTTTGCAGAGAACAAAAAGCACATTTAGAATAACAATAGCATGATCAGTTAAATCATAAATCAGGTGACTGTTTTAAGCAGTGATTCTCATGAGCTGAAAATAAAATACTTCCCGTCCTTTATTCATCTTACCCAAAGAATATGCTACTGGGGTTGTTCTTTTGAAGGTTTCCTTCATGCACTGATGAAGGAAATATTGGCATTCTGAAATTAATTATTAATCTTTCATTTATTCAATAAGAACTCAGAGATTACCTGTCTGGGGAAGAGACAGGTAGGAGACACAAATGAAAGTTCACCATCTTCACATACCATACAATTGCTGCTTGCCTCATAAACACAAGAGGACTTGCTCATTCCAGTTCTAAAAATCTAAACTACTAGGATATTTTTTACTATCACGCTGCATAAATTTTTTCTCAGGAGTTCCAATAATTGCTTTATTGTCAAATCTAATTTTCCCCATTAATCTTCATCCTTCTCAACTTTCCAGTGGCAGCTAGCTTTATTATCTATTCCTTTTTTCCTTCATTCTTTTTATTCATGTCTGACTGTGGCACCAATCATTCAAGGAACCTTAAAAACATTTAAAACTTCCTTCCCCTTTCTTTTTATAACTAATCAGTTGGTCACTAACAGCTATTAACTGTTTTTGGAAATGTTTCCATGTTTTTTCCTTTCCTTTTGGTATGACTCTAGTCCAGGTCCTCAAAATGTTCCATCTAAATTTCTGAAACATTCTCACAGGTCTTCCTGGTTTTAGCCTCTCTCACCTCTGAGATACTCTGGATCAAATCCCTTAAACAAGTCATTCATTTTTCTGTTTAACAATCTGTAAGTATTTCTTCTCGTCTGCTGCACCAGTGTCAAACTTCTTCCCATGAATTTCAAGGTCACACATAATATCTAATCAACATATCCGACCTGAATCACCTTTTGGGGTTTTTTTTTTGCTTTCCAGTACACCCACTTAGTAACTCTAGCCAGTATCCTCAATGCCCCCAATATACTTGTGACTTGTTGAAATATCATTTCCTTTCTTCTGTATCCTCTGACTGCATTTAATCAAGCTTAATTCTCTTCAATTAAAAAAAACAAAACAAAACTGTTCATTTCCCGCATGGGCCAGTGAGCTGCGCCCTACGCAACTATTTGGTTGTCGGAAAAGTCATGACGCATTTTTGCGACGAAAAACAGAGAAAAAATACGTCATGACTTTTCCGACAACCCAATAGATTGAAGACAATGACTTGAGCTGAGCTTCCAGTGAGCTGCTGAATGGCTCAGTTGGTTACAGTGCGTGTTCTTTACAAGGTTGTCGGTTCTACTCCCATCCATGGGATGGTGGGCCATGCCCCCTGCAACTAGATTTGAAAACAGCAACTCGACTTGGAGCTGAGCTGCACCCTCCACAACTAAGATTGAAAGATAACAACTTGACTTGGAGCTGAGGGTCCTAGAAAAAACACACTGTTATCCAATAAAAATTAAAAAGCAAAACAAAACTGGAATCCACATCTTCCTCCAGGTAATATCTGATTTCTCTCTCTTCCTCACAGCAGAATCCTCCAAAGAGTTATTTTCACTGGTTGTCTTCATTTCTTCCCCTCTCACTCACTTCTCTACCCACCCCCACTACTCACTGTCTGCTGAGGTCACCAATGACTTCCATGGGGTCCAAT